CCGGGTCACCTGCACGGGCACCGAGGACCACCTGGGCGAGTGCCAGGTGGGGCCCTGGGGAGAGGCCAGCTGTGAGCATGGCGCCGACGTGGGCGTGGTGTGTGCAGGTGAGGTGGGCGGGGCTTGGGGAGGGGCGGGTAGGGCGCTGAGGGAGGTGGGGAAGGGGGGGGTTTACCTGGTTGGACCTACCTGTGACCACACCTGAGCCCAGGACCCTCCCAGACTCACCTGTTGACCCCAAAACCCTCCCACAGTCACCTGTCGACCCCGAGACCCTCCTATACTCACCTGTCGACCTCAAAACCTTCCCGCGGTCACCTCTTGACCCCAAACCCTTTCAATACTCACCTGTTTGATCCCAAACCCTCCCAATACTCACCTGTTGACCCCAAACCCTCCCAATACTCACCTGTTGACCCCAAAACCCTCCCAATACTCACCTGTTGACCCCAGCACAGCCCCAGACTCACCTGTTGACCCCAAAACCATCTCACAGTCACCTGTCGGCCCCAGGACCCTCCCAGACTCACCTGTCGGCCTCAGAACACCTTTCTCCACCCCACCACCAACCTAAACCCACCTGGAACCACACCTGCTCACACCCGAGCCCAAGACCCTCCCGGCGCCACCCGTCGACCCCCAAAGCCCTCCCCAATGCTCACCTGCCGGCCCCAGAACCCCTTTTCCCACCCGGAGCCCCGCCCAGGTGCGCCACACCTGTCCGGCCCCGCAGGTGCGGAGGCGGCGTCGCGGCTGCAGGTGCGCCTGGCCAACGGCTCCAGCGCCTGCGCGGGGCGGGTGGAGCTGTTCCGCGAGCACAAGTGGGGAACCGTCTGCGACGACACCTGGGACCTGCAGGACGCGCAGGTGATCTGCCGCCAGCTGGGCTGCGGCCACGCCCTGGCCGCGCCCGGCCACGCCCACTTCGGCCGGGGGGAGGACCCCATCTGGCTGGACGGCGCCCACTGCACAGGTAGGGAGGAGGAGCTGGCGCAGTGCCAGCTGCACACCTGGGGCGAGCACGACTGCAACCACGGCGAGGACGCGGGCGTGGTGTGCACAGGTGAGGCGCAGGCGGGCGCAGGTGAGGCGGGGGGGGACTGTGGGGTGGGAGGCGGGAGCGGGAGGGGCGGTGGGCTCAGGTGCGCTCAGGTGTGGGGCTGGAGCGGGGTCTAGGGGGTGCTCAGGTGGGCCCAGGGGGGATTCTCAGGTGTGCTCAGGTGTGCGCCCCTCCCTCGCAGGTCCCACCCCCCT